AAAAAAAAAAAAAAAAAAAAAAGATCAATGTCCACATAATCCCTTTCCACTCTATTCTCTAAGCAAATTAAAAAGAAACGCAACCGATTCCTCATTCTTTTCCAGGCTACCCTTATACGGATCGCCTATGGCTTGTAAATAGCTTACGTTAGCCAACGAGGGGATCGAAACGCGAAGGCAAGGAGGCCGGTATTGGTCCGCGTGTCGTCACTGAATTCCACGCGGCCGCGTGCTTCGAATACGGAATAAAGAGCGCGGTTGCATTCTTGCCGCGTCGAAATAATAAAACTGTTACTCACCAATAACGATGTTCGCCGCGGTTCCCTCCGGAATGGATCGGCAGTAAACCCTGCACAGAGAAAAAAAGGACAAGCGTCCAATTAATCCACGCGTAAATATTACGAAGCACGCTCTCTCTAACCAAATATCAATTCCTTCGAGCCTCTCCTCTCTTCTCCAACTGCGCACCACACGCACACGCACACGCACACACGCACACGCATACACACGACACGCTTGTCCGACCTCTATATCAAAACACGCTTTGTTGCCTACTGACGTAATACTACTACGCTCGTTTCATCCGTGAAAGTTGCCACCGCGTACTGGCCCCTTATCTTCACACGCGGTGCACTCGCGATCTAGACAACCGATTCTCATCCTTCGAACGCTTCGCTCATCCTTGACACGTTCACCCACGATTCCATTCCGGGCAATAATTCGAATTATCTATCAATTATCGATCAACACGTTTCTCTATCACGCGTCACAGACGATGTCGATTCCTTGCGCTATCTGCTCGCAGTAACGGATACAAATTGCGATCTTCGTCGGATACGATTGTATCCAACGCTCGTTCGAACGGAATAAATCACACGTACGGATCGGCAAAACGTCAGATCATCCAGATATTTCTCGTATCGCGCGGTTAATATACTATATTAAGTGAGTACAACGCGATCGAGACTCGATCTCGATTCGAGAGGCCTCCTTCGAAAATATAAATCTATATATATATAATCGAGCACTGATACAACGCGCACTGTTTCACAAATTCTCCACCAACGAGTCACCAAACACGTGCACGCCCGCTAATTAACCGGCCAATCGGACAAGATGGTGAACGAGCAAGGTCGCCGCCGCGGTGCAACGCGTTCCTCTCGTCAATCGCCGCCCAATTAATCCTCTCCCTGAGAAGCGGCCGAGCAAACTGCGTCTGTCTGCCCGGCCCAGCCCGATTTCGAGGCCCGAAACACCGAGACACCGTCAAGGTCGGAATACCGCGAAATCAGAGCGAAAGGAAAAGAACTGAAAGTGAGAGAGAATATGAGAGAGAGAGAGAGAGAGGGAGGGAGAGAGGGAGAGGTCGAGCTAGGTCATGGCCAGAGTCGGCCGTACCTTGAATTATCCTTCGATCCGCTGCGATCCGCGTGTATCACGATCAAGGATTCGAGAGAGAAAGAGAAAGAAAGAGACAGAGAGAGAGAGAGAGAAAGAGAGGAGGATGCGTGTAGGATCGGAAGAATAATCGACGCTAAGGTAGAGAACACAGAACACGAGTTACTTCGCGAAATGGTGAACCCGCTTCTTCCAACGGAGTAGTCGTTGTCTACTAACCTCCTCCCCCTCCCTGCCCTCCACGGCCCCCCTCCAACACTTCGGCCTCTCTTTCTTTATCGCATGTGTAAAGAGAGTGGGTCTAGTGGGGAGGACCGAGGAGTGAGATAGAGGGGGAGATAGGGGGCGGAATGTAGCGCGTAAGAGAGGCGAGAGGAGAGAGGGGGGGAGATGTTTGTCGGAGAACGAAAACGCACATGTGTCGTACGTATATATAAGTAGTAAGTGCACTCCGGTTGCGATGCTACGACGTGAACGAATAATCCGGATGCATCTGGAGGGGCGGGTGGGAGGCCTGGAGGGGGAGCGAAGTCAATGAACGAGTTCACCACAATCGCCAC